TTACAGCAAAAGCATATCACAATATCATTTGACACATTAGGCACTTTCACACCCGAGTTCTATTCCGAGGAATAGTTCCGTTCACACCAAAAACATCTGGAACTACAACTTTTTTTTGCGAACCTTTTCACCCTTTTTCAGTCCTTGCTAGAGAGCACAGACTCTCCTGGGGAGGAAAAGGTTCCAATTTCTGGTTGGCAGAGCGAATTGCAAACTACGACCCTTAAAGCTCGGAAAAGTTTAGTGAAGCCGCCATTGTATTTGCTGGCATTAGCATTATTAGCATTAGCATTAGCCCAGCGCACCAGCGGAGAGAGACTAACTTATGGCAACACAAATGAGGAGGTGTCGGCGTTCTGGTGATTTACTCGGAACTCCGGGGACTTCCGGCCGGGGACTTTGGGTGGCAGTATATGCCGTGAAGTTGTTTGCGGCCTGCCAGTAAACCCAAAGTTGAAGAAGAAGAAGTGACGTCAGTGGCTTTATTTGACTAATCCTCCCTCAGGGACTGATTCTAGTGTGAACACGATTTACTAGATAGTTCCGGAACTAAAGATTTCCGGGGAACTATGTTCCGGGAACTATTCCTGGGAAAAGTACTTGGTGTGAAAGCGCCTATTGTCACTAAAATCCTTCACAATAATGTTGAAGCCAATGTGGAAATTCCTGTCCACCCTGCTGCATGCCTCATTAAGGAACTGTTTGTCCGGATTGAGAGGTTTGTAAAACCTCCACCCCTATACTATATTTCAGGAATGTTAAGGTGGTGGTTGAAAAAGGCAATACCCTTTACTCACCTCATCCACACAGCGAGAGGCGTCTATAGTGCGCACCTTGCCGCTTTCCTCATACAGATCAATGATTGGTCGTGTAGACTGCAGGTAGGTCTGGATTCTGCAAGAAGAAGAAGAAGACTGGTTATTGGGGTCAGACGATACAGGGAACTCAAAGGAGACAAATTAGGTCAAAAACACATGCAGATATCAAGCTAAACAGGTCAGACAAACCCATACGATCAGATTTGCTTGTTGTACGTTGCTACAGACGGAAATATTCAATAGGTGGATAAAAGGCAGTAGGACATACTTCTTGGGTTCAGTGCTGTTTAACTGTTTTACCTTTTCTCCAAGCTTTCTCTGTTGTCATCACTGCGTCCACTGCTCTTCCCTCTTTCTAAACACCTGTCGATGCAAACCTGAGGGAGAAAGATAAATAGATGGTGTGCTCATTTGAAAAGGTCTCTATTTGTGTTTAAAAACAGCTGGAAGAGTTATAGCTTCCTGGTTTTCATGACGAACCTCATTGCCGCAGTCAAAGAAAAGAACAAATTTGACATCTGCTTTGCCTTCCATGACCTTTTTCCAGCCCTGAAGGTTGTCCCCGTTGCGGGGGAAACCGTCTATGAGGAAGCGGAACTTTTTCTCGTCTTCCTGCATGGTCTCTTCCATTGCCTGCAGAAGCGGAAGAAAGATTAGAGCCCTAATATCAATGTTTTGATAGAGCTGATTTTTCAAATGAAGCCAGCTGTTAATAAAGACATGCAGATTCTACTTAATGTTTTTTTTCTTTAGAAGTCAATGAAAAACTCTGGTTTCATGTTTCTGAAAAACTTAAAGATCCCATCATGCTTTTCTGGTTATTACCCGTCCCCTTGTGTGTTATGAAGGTTTTTCTGCATGTAAACGGTCTACAGAGTCACAAACCCTCAAAGTACACCCTGTAGCGAGTAAAACTCTAACACAGAAAATACCTGTCTATGCTGCCCCAGAACGCCTCGTTGGAGATTTCTCTTTTTCCATTTTATTCTTCCGGGGCATATTGAAGTCACTACGTCCAAATGGACCAATCCGCGGAGCTCCGCACACACACTCAGCCTGAGCTCAGACCCCACACAGCAACCGGGAAATTACACCAGTAAGCCAGCTCACACTGTCCGCTCCTCGCAGCAGCGACCCGCGCAACTACCCGCCAACACGGCACCCAGACCCCACGCAGCATTCTCATCTGTTTGTCCTTACTGGTGTCATTTTCTGGTTGCTAACGCCATTGTAACACATAATCACTGATGTTCTGCTGTAACGGTGGTAGACTCATCAGAACAGAGTGGCC